AAGAAGTGTCTGCATACACACACATACAGTGATGTTTTTATTTTCAATAACCAGGAGAGAAGAAAAAGCAGCTTTTTTTTCTGTTCCAAGCTGCCAAATAATTGCATAGAAACTCTTCAAGGAAACAGTTTAATGTGATTGCAATTATATGCTGACACAATCAGAACTTGGCAAACAGCTCAGCTCACAACGGACAAGAAAAACAGAAGTGGGATAAAAAGAACTGACATTTTTTATGTTGTTTTTCCTATCACTTTAGAGTTTTTAGTTTTTGCTTGGTGTAGAACGGGAACATGTATGGAAACTTAAAAGGAAAGCACATGGTGATAAACAGCAGGCTGATTAGGAACAGAAAAGTCAAATGTTGGACTAATTTCACATAGATACGACCTCTGACAAGGTCATAGCATTGTGTCCCTGCTCTCTCTCTTGCGCCCGCACGCTCATGTCTCGCTTTTAGTTTCACATTTTCCTCTTCAAATTTTTTCACACTCTTTGTTCTCCTTCTTAAACAGTTTTACATTCGATTAAGCATTTTTATCTCCTTTATTCTTACGCTCAATGAGAAAGAAATAACAGGTTTTTAGGGTAACAATAATTTTCTTTACAATTAAAAAATACGAGATGTCATACATATAGTATTTATTTAGTTTATTTTAATTAGGTTAATGACAGTTGTCAACAGCTTCTTGGAAATGATTCTACACATTTGGCACATATTTAATTTCCTCCTATTATCTTTAGCAGAGTCGTTCGTCTGATTCAAATCGAATCATTAGGTCTCTGTTAATGCTTTTCAGAAATGTCACTGACTTCCTGGAAATACTTGGGCTGTTTATTTTCAGCTTTTGATTTGTAGAGTTGTAATATTTCACCCAAGTCTGAGCTCAGGCTTTACTTCTACGTGCTCTCAACCAATATATATATATATTTGAATCCATCCCCCTCACTCACTCGTGTTTGTTTTAGATATACAGTAGTCCATCGCTACTTCATCGTTCGTTTATCGGGGACTTACTCTATTGCAGTTTTTCAAAATAAGACTGGTCATGACGCACAAGTGGCTGATTGATGGATGAGTCGCATGATCAGCATGACATTTTTATTTAAAATAAATTATTTTAAATTATTTTGCACCTTCTGTACCTTTGTGCAGCCCTTACTGCAGGATAAACTTCCTGCTGCAACTGATCAGCTGTTCTCCGTGCAGAGCTGAAAAGTGGGCGTGGCCAAGAGCGCTTGCAGGTGGCTGAAAGCAGCGGAGGCAGGGAGC